CATGTGACTGGCCGTAAAGTGCATTGAGGGCTAGTGTTAGGTTGGGAAGAGGGGGGAATATGATCCATGTGACTGACCGTAAAGTGCATAGAGGGCTAGTGTTTGGTTGGGAAGAGGGTGGTTTATGATCCATGTGACTGGCCGTAAAGTGCATAGAGGGCTAGACTTAGTATCTCCTACGTAGGACGTATTATGTCCTACGTAGGACTTACTATCTCCTACGTAGGACTTAGTATGGCCTAGAATCACTATCTCCTACGTAGGACTTACTATCTCCTACGTAGGACTTAGTATCATTCACCGTGGCCCTACTAGGCTTCCGTATTTTTTTTACCCTTTCTGACAACATTTTGAAAGAATCTGTCTTTTGTTTGTTATATTGGACTGAAAGTTTAGCTTTTCTTAAAATAAATCTCGCCGCCAGTGATGGCAAAACTGCACTGCCGCGCAAAGGCGCCTCCAACTATATTTATATTATATATATATAAAGGCCGGTTGACCCATTGTACACAATACATTTACATCATATATATATATTAGCTTATGATAACCACTATGACAATATATGTAGAGTAATGGATATATTTATTGTTTTAGAAAGCTATTACAATGAAAATATTGTTTTATATTACTATTTATTTTATATTCATACACTGAAACGTGTCATACATATATTGTTTAGTAATACCCATGAATATGAAAATCTGAAAAATAATATTTAAAAACCTATTGTAAAATGTTACGGTTTTTGAAGAGATGCGGAAATGATGAGGATTGCTTCCTAGTGTCATGTACTTACAACACTGAACACTGAGAGGGTGTTGATCTCATTAACCAGATTTGCCGGACTACACTACAGAGGGCGTTGCTGGGATTAGCTGCGCCATATGCAAGAGGCGATAACCGCCATTGTTCGCGCCAGTGTATGGAATCACAGTAACGTAACCGACCGACGACTCTTTATGAGCACTATCGTGTATCAGGGACATAAGTCGTTGATTAAGTCCACCGGTCAAGGTTATCACGGCTTAAGCAGTGCTGCAGCTGAAATACATCACCGGATAGACACATATGATTGCTGGGTCGAAAAGAATAATACTAGCCTCTGACTATTGACTCAGGTGGCTATTGCGGGCTTTGGTTTATAAATACTTTTACTGTGGTTTGTTCAAGAATTTTACACATCTGATACTGGGAACTGTTAGACATCGCCCAGGGCTGTCCTAGACTTGCTACATTGAGTGAATCCTATTCGATGTGTCCCCTGCTGTGATATTGTTGAAATATTGCTGAGATATTGCTGAAACCTGCCTTTATCCCAATCTCATGAAAAGCAGTTCCGAGTGCTCGCTACTGCAAAACAAAGATCTGAGGACATCCCATCACAGGTCACGTAAGAACGACCTTTCACCGACTTTGACCGACCAATGAAATGACCAACAAGAAGTCTACATTAGCCAATCAGAAATCAGGACTAGTTTTAAACTGGCGACTTCCATTCCAGACTACGGTTTGGAAAATATTTTGCCAACGTTCTCGATTCAAAATCTGAAAACTGAACAAAAGAATATTCTGGAATTCTAGATGGCCGAGATTGTCTGGCAGTTCTTCCCACGAGCAATGGAACGTTTCACCCTTTTGAAATGTTTATCCCTTTGAAGCGAGAGACAGACGATGGTTTTGATCATCAGATCATCAGATCTTTGTTTAGAGGTAACGTGCACTAAGATCTGATTTTCAAGACATTTAACCCCTCTCACCCACCCACCTGCACGACATGGGACAAGAGACTGAGCCAGTCGGGTTGCCTTCGTAGGCTGCGCTTGCGCTACCGTAGCGCAAGCGCAGCTTACCCAGAGAACCAGACTGGATACTGAGGTCGCACTTCACTTAGGCAAGCTGCATTAGAAGATGCTGACAGTTAGATAAATTAAGCGAGATTCAAGTGAACGATTACCGGGTGATCAAAACAACGAAAACATTAACCAAAGACCGTGATCGATTATAAGTAACAGCTTCAACAGTTCAAATATGTCAAATATATGTTATCTTACAAATATATGGACGCCATCCATTCAGATTCATCACATTGTCTACAAGAGGGCTGTATGTCTTAGTGGTGGAACTGCCTCTCATGTCACCGAACGTCGAGAGCCCCTGCAAGGACACGGCCTGGCTCCGCCACTATAATACGTTCATTATTATTATGTCATTGGAAAAACCGTTCCTTTCATCACACGCAACTGAAGTTTGATCACGGCCTGAAACGCGGCACTCGACAACCCATCTGATGGCGACTGGGAACAAAGCGAGGCTTGGTTGTTTCCAAGTGGTTCTCATAAACACTCAACTTGTTTGTCGCCCTCAGTCGCCTCAGACAGTCAAACATCAGGTAACACATCCTGCGAGGACTCGGGTTTAGAACAATGCGGACTCAGTCCACGTTGTGTTTTGATATTATAAATATAAATACCAAGATGTATGGCGTTGCTATGAGGACGTAATGACATGGGCTGCTGTAACTGTCTTGTCATGTCGGATTGACCTGATTGTGAACACGGCGAGGCAATACGCCGGGTCGTTATCGCATGACAGATCTGCATGACATGGCGTACCCTCAAGTAGTTTGAGGGGCTGTCGGGTAGCCTAGTGGTTAGAGCGTTCGATCGTCACCCCGAAGACCCGGGTTCGATTCCCGACATGGGTACAATGTGTGATGCCCATTTCTGGTGTCCCCCACCGTGATATTGCTTGAATATTGCTAAAAGCGGCGTAAAACCATACTCACTCACTCATGTAGTTTGAAAGTTCTTTTTTCCTTCATTAGATATATCTGAAAATAATAAACGAATAAATAGAGGTTACATTTAGATGACGTGAAACAATAAACAAATATACAAAATATTTTCAACGTTGTTCATATTTTTGTATCTTTCTTGATAAAGGTACCAGCATGCTACCGCAACACCCATACAGCTATTAAATGCCATTGAAGGTATGACTCTGACACACAATAGGAAGGTATACGCTATGTATAATCATCTTGTTAAAGTTGTGATCATATTTACATCGTATAGAATTTAAAGAGTAAACTAGAAAATCCATAATTTCCCATTAAAAGAAATTACAGTAAACTACGTTTATAACGAACACGCTTTTGACGAACCGACGGATATAACGAACTGTTTTTTTTGGTCCCGGCCATTTGCTGTATACAGGAAACGGTCGAAATGCGTATAACGAACGACGGATATAACGTACTAAAATTAGTGGTCCCTTTGAGTTCATTATAACCGTAGTTTACTGTATATGCTTATAACGAACGACGGTTATAACGAACTAAAATTAGTGGTCCCTTTGAGTTCATTATAACCGTAGTTTACTGTATTGCATATTATTCAGATTTATTTTTCAATAATTGTATTAATATTAAAAAAGAGGCGTCCATGTAAGTGTGTCAGTTATGTCTGATTCTTCCGTCCAGTTGAGACAATAACATAGACAAAACCGACGGGCAAAAGAAAGTATACACCTTGTGCACATGAAACAAACAAAAAACAGTTATTCGATGGTTATGTATCTGATAAAGGTAGTGTTGATTGGACATTATCAAACCTTGACATTTAAGATAAAATGTTGAACAGAAAGAATGCATCAATTCTTTTACGAAATGGTAGAGCTTGAACATACATAAACAAGTCGAAATGCCATGATCGAGTTTAATTAAATGTCAAACAAATAAATACACACGATCTCATCACTTTTCATGAGTTTCTGTGCGTTGAAGTGCGAACATGCCCGATGTAATCCGAGTGAGACTTATCACTGACGCTATTCCTGTATATCATATCAGGTTGCAACATCAGGTAATGAGTTTCCCACTTTGTCACGTGATGCCTGATTTATTCAGTTTTAAAAACTAACAAATTACCAAATTAAATGTATGTGACCAAAACACACATTAATTGTCTTGAAACAAATCAAAACATATTGATTCGATAACGAGAAATGAAACAAACTATATAACAAAAAATACGTGTTTCGTTTGGTTCTAATAGAGCCACTTTTATGACACAAAGCATTACCATGCTGAAGCAGATTGTACAGACTCACGGTAATAGGAGACGTGCACTCTCTAACAGCAGACACTATCTTGAAGGTATAGAAAATTATATTACCAAAATAGACGAAAAATGATCTTTAAAACCAATTATTTGGTATGCGGAGAGGAATGAATCGAATATCAATAATTGAGTAATGTCTGTGCCCGAGAACAGAAAGGGCGATGTCCAGGTTAGCAGGCTAACTGACGGATTGTCATTACCGGATTGTCCACAATTACAGTTGTCTTTATTTTTCATACGACAGTGTCCTTATTTCACTGTACCATGTTACCTCCAAAATTAGTGTTGTCCCCCGCCGTGATATTGCTTGAATATTGCTAAAAGCGGCGCAAAACCATATTTACTCACTCATTCACCTCCAAATGTGTCTTAAACCAGAAACAATGCAAAAACAAGCCCAATGAATGAAGAAAAACATGTGTTTTAAAATTGTGAATTTAATCTGGTACAGGTTGATGGAGACCTCTCAAAACGATATGATGTCCACATTGGACAACACAGTCCTGGTATACAGACAGCTCGAAATCATGAGTGAAGTTGCATTGGCGATGATATGACATTAATACGCAGAATGGGTTTTATATATTAGATGGCTGTCGGGAATCCGGGTTTTTGATTGGGCGAGCCCGAATGTCAACACGTTTAAGAAAAAGAAACTGTTAAATTTAAAGAAATAATAAGAATAACGTTAACACCCCGCTATTTAGAAATCCTTTGGAATTACACATGTAATGCTTTATATTGAAGAAAAGGGAATTCATATTTCATTTACATGATGAAAATAACAAAGTGAACAATTGAAATATAAGACAATATCACTGTTGTATTTAGACATTTCTGTTTCTCAATTTAAACGTTGTATATTTGTAATTACAGACAGCAGCTTTATACTGGCCAACGCTCGGATCGTGGAGTACCCTATCGTCTACTGCAATGACGGCTTCTGTAAGCTTGCCGGCTACAACCGGGCGGAGGTTATGCAGAAGAGCAGTACGTGCAGCTTCATGTATGGCGAGCTGACCGACAAGGAGACCATCCATGGCCTGGAGGACGCCTTCGAAACGATGGAACAGGAGCAGGTCGAAATTCTGCTCTACAAGAAGAACAGTAAGTACAGCAGACGACATCCGGTTCGGTATCATGGGCGGGTTGTTGCTCTATCGCTAAAAGAGTCAGTTTCAGCAGACGATATCCGGTGGGCTATCATGGGCGGGGTGTTGCGAGAATCAGTTGCAATGAGTGAGTGTAGAGATGCTAGCAATATTTCTGTCAAGGATACTGGTAACTCTGTTTGGCAAAGTGCTTTGGGTTTGCTCCACAATCGGGCTTTTACCATTCTCCCTCAAATTCTGCCGAAATAAAATTGAAAATGACATACACATAAATCTAATTCTATTCTCAGATTCTCAGCCAATCACTAATCTCGATTTGAAAACATACCCGATCCCCATTTAATAAAATACTCGATCTCCATTTAATACAAATACCCGATCTCTATTTAAATAAATACCTGATTCCCATTGAATACAAATACCTGATCCCAATTTAGATTAATACCTGATACCCATTTAATACAAATACCTGCTCCCCATTTAATAAAATACCCCATCTACATTTATTATAACCTGATCCCTGTTTAAACAAATACCCTATCCCTATTTAATACAAATACCCGATCTCTATATAAAACAAATATCCAATTTCCATTTAATACCAATACCTGATCCCCATTTAAACAAATACCTGATTCCAATTTAAATAAATACTAGTACCTGATAACCATTTAATATAAATGCCCGATGTCCATTTAATACAAATACCCGATCTCCATTTAAACAAATACCTGATACCCATTTAATACAAATACCCGATCTTCTTTTAAAACAAATACGGGATCTCCGTTTAAATAAATACCAGATCCCTATTTAAATGAATAACTGATACCCTTTTGATAAAATACCCGATCTCCATTTATTATGACCTGATCCCTGTTTAAACAAATACCCGATCCCCATTCAATACAAATACCCGATCCCCATTCAATACAAATACCCGATCCCCATTTAATACAAATACCCGATCCCCATTCAATACAAATACCCGATCGCCATTTTAACAAGTACCCGATCCCCATTCAATACAAATACCCGATCGCCATTTTAACAAGTACCCGATCCCCATTCAATACAAATACCCGATCCCCATTTAAACAAATACCTAATGCCCATTTAATACAAATACCCGATCTCTATTGAAACAAATATCCGATTTCCATTTAAACAAATACCTAATGCCCATTTAATACAAATACCCGATCCCCATTTAAACAAATACGCGATCCCCATTTAACCAAATAACCAATGCCCATTTAAATATACAACGTCAACGCCAGTGAATAACCAGTCTCCACTATCCGCCAAAACACAGGCCACTGGGCGTGAGGGGCAATATAGCCGTGACAATTATATGAATGGATCACTGAAAATCATTGATAACTCATGCATGTCTGCTCCACCTGTAGCACTGAATCCCTTTGTTCCCTGTGACATCTTCAAACTGAGAGGCTGCCCCGCCTTCTAAGAATACTTGCAGTCACGGCGTTTCTGATGACAGACAACACAAGCCAACACCGGGGCATATCAAGTCAATGTGCAATATGAGACCGAATGATTCATGATTCTGTCAAATGTGTATTGAGAAATAGTTAGTATCAAAAGCAGTGTTGTCAGTTTGAAATTGCATACAAACAGACGCAAATAACATTAATAAATGGTCATCAACAGACATTATTCAGAAATGAAAATAAACACCGATTACATTTTAGAGTCAGTTATCGTGTACCACCTTGGTTATGCTCAGAATAGAGTTCCACCCGTTCTGGAGCCAGCAAAGAGTTACGCGACAGGTGCGCAGGTTGCAGCACACACCTGGGACTTGTCATATTAAATTCAACAGGAATTTAAAACTGGTCTCCGTCTCATCATAACCATTACAATGCATGTATCCATTGTCCGCAGTGGTGACTAACTCGCACGCGTATGCAGAGTGTATAACCAACCCTTCCCATTTCTCATTACATGTAACGGGCCCAATAACAATTTACGTGCACCATTGTCCTCGCGGATGAGGTGGGATGATATTGCTGCCTCCTTTATAATGTCACACGTGTGAATGACACTAAACACATTCTATCATGCCTAGCTTTTCTCACCAGTGAGATTATAATGTCAACATTAATTTATTTTAGGTTACGTGACGCAAACGGGTAATATGAAAAGCACATACCTGCTTCAATATATTCGGTCACAGAGGTGGGAAGTTTTTTGCTGGAAATATAATTGTATTCATTTCATTTGAATAATTCACAAGCACAATCTCCGGGGAAATCACACTTAGAAGAACTGGCTGGGGTGTGATCGCTTGGCGAACAAGAGTGTTTTTCAGGGCAGTTGTTAACAATTAATAAATGATGAGAGACGAAAGCTCATCTAACCCCGGCATAGTGTTGCCTCAGAGGAGACATCGTAGTGTCACATGCTTAATCTAATGCGCAGTGGAAATCAGTGGAGCGTACAAACGCCTACCTGCTTCTTGCACAGGTAACTTGGCATTGCTTCCAAAATGACAGACTAAAATGAAATTTTCTTACGTCTGTATTTTTTATTTTCAAATTCAGAATTTACTTTTAGCCCGGTAATGGTGATTCAACCACCACACGACAGTCGGTAGCACATGTATAAAACCTACAGGCCGTGTGTCTGTGGTCATATGAACGATAACGCGAAGGGTCATTGACCACTGTTTTGACAGTTTATCTGTATCCGTTATAACTGATGTTTACTATTTCCTATTTTAGGGGAGGTCGGGTAGCCTGGTGGTTAAAGCGTTAAGTCGTCACGCCGAAGACCCGGGTTCGATTCCCGACATGGGTACAATGTGTGGAACACCTTTTCTGGTGTCCCCCGCCGTGATATTGCTGGAATATTGCTAAAAGCGGCGTAAAAAACATACTCACTCACTATTTCCTATTTTAGGATCAGGCGGAGTTGATTAAAGTTGTAGGTTTTACAACATTTGTCACTGAAAATTTATGAGTTGTTTTTAATTTGTTTTCAATTTACTTTATTATTGAACTTCCAAAACAGTATCTGCAGCTTCATGAAACAAACTGAAACTTTTCCATTGTCTAAAGCAGGAAGGGCCTTCAGCAACACATGCTTGTCGTAAGAGGTGACTAACGGGATCGGGTGGTCACTGACTTGGTTGATGCTTGTTTTCGTATCCCAATGGCGTAGATCAATGCTCGTGATGTCAATCACTGGATTTACCTGGTCCAGCATCGATTATTTATCACCGTCACATAGCTGGGATATTGTTTTGTGTGGCGTGAAGCAACAAACAAACAAACACTAGCTATGTGCCATTTGAGTCGAAAATGCCAATATCTGTTCCATGTTTCCGTCAGCTCAGAAGCCAGTTCAATGTAACCCTATATTACTAGCTTCTTTGTAAAGCATTTGGCTCGTTGTTGACCTTATCACGTTGCAGGTCGACACCACCGAGTGGCGCCAGACTCAGTGCAGCATTCCAACCGAAAGAACAAACCCTTTTATTCCCGTCTGGCTGTTGCATAATACCCTCAAATGACGTCTCGTTGTTCGGCGTGTGTCGTACATTGATTCTGACAGTGGGGTTTCAATCATATTGACTTGTTCAGTCCGAAGTCCCCTGCCCAGGGGAAACACGACATATGAGAGCCTGGCTGTCGTATAATGTCGCTTTGAGAACATGGATGACAGTTTTGTAAAGGCAGCGTCACTGGTGAACTGTGTTTCTTTTATGTCGGCCATTGCACCACGTGAACTGATCTATCTACAAACGACGCCACCTATCATTTTAAATAAGTTGGATACCTACATACACCGCCTAATAGATCGGAACAAACCAATTTGCGCACACAGAGAAAATGACCCTGAAATTGTTGACCCCCATAAATATCATGTAAATATCAAAATCTCAAGTCATTCCCATCTGCGAGCCTGTGTTCTTTCTATGTTTATTTTCTTCGTATCCTAAACGCCATCAAAAAGCTAATGGGGACATAATGAGAGTTGTGACGTCACGGGTCGTTAATACGATGCTATATGAGCCCTATTCCTCGTGTACCACTCCCAGTGCTGATCGATGGGGCTGTCTGTTATATCAGGGTAGCCGCGAGCCTGGGGCTAAACACTGACAGCCAGCGACACAGACTCAATCTGCTCACCCAAGTACATGGCAACACTATTCAGAAAAATGAATGCATGCACGAAAACGACGGACCTGTAATACTCTGATATTAGTTCTAACCCCCATGGACTGCCTGACAAATAGGAGTTTTGTTCAAGTGAAAGGTGTATATTGATGACTCTAAGAATGCTTGTTTACCAATTACTGTTGCCCCGAGAGGTTGCACTGCTTCTGGCTCCACTGCGGTCGTGTATGTTGATGAAGGTGACGTCTGACCTGATTATACGAACAGCAGGTGCAAGGACTGAATGTGATTAGTGATGTTGAAATATTAATAGACAATAGGTTGTTATCTATGCTATAAATCACAGATGGGCTGTGACACGTTGAAAGTTAAATTATCTCAGGAATGAAACAGTTTTAATAGGCCTATAAATATATATTGATCGAAGGACTGGTATCAATTACGTACCCAAAGATGGCCGGAGAGTATACCCCCCCCCCCCCTAAAAAAAAACAACCCCACAACAACAACAACAAAACAAAACAAAACAAAAACAACAAACCCCACAAACAACAACAAACAAACAAAAACAACACACAAAAACAACAACAAAAACACACAAAAAAAACCCCAAAACAACACACACCAATCCCCACCCCCACCCGTATTGTGATGCTGTATAAACATGGACACTCGTTAATCCAGACAGTATTCAAACTAAAACGTCAGGGATAGCAAATACTCCGGGTTTGTATTGCTGTACACATATACCTGTATATTTCATAACGAAATGGATTGGCAAACAATCCAAAGGCCTGCTTATCTTATTGTCACTCCAATACAAAAATATGAAATCATATTGCATGACATCAATACTATCAGTTAACCAATAATATCATCATAAGACCATAGGTCGATAATTGAAATAGAATACCGTACTGGTTAATTATATCTACCACTTTCTGAAGTAATTGTTTGTACACATTGGATATATTCTATTGTTTCCTGTAATTGTTTACCATACATGTATACAAGTCTGTTTTGTTTGTTTGTTGTTTAACGCCGCACTCAGCAATATCCGCCTCTTACGGCAAGCATGGGTTGCTGAAGACCTGTGTATACACGTAGCGCCACAATAGCAGGATGGGTCATTTCAAAGGACTCTATCAGTTTTATGTGAATTTAAATCGCTACAACCTGATTTGAGGCTAGAATGTATTACATGGCTGATTCTATGTCCTCGTCCTGGTTAAATATTATTTTATATAAATGCCAGTTTTCCCAGCATCATCAAGGCTGACAAACTGGTACTTTGGCATATGTTCTCTTGTTTATGTCTGTCAATATATTTTCAGGAACGTTTACGACCATGCTCGTTGAATGTTTTGTTGATAACGTTTAAGATGAAGTACGTGAGCCTGTAATATTGTTCCGCAGGGACTCCACTATGGCTACTCCTGCACGTGGCCCCCATCAAGAACGAGAAGGACCAAGTGGTGCTATTCATGTGCTCCTTCAAGGACATTACTGCCCTCAAACAACCAATCGACGACGAAGGCGGCAAAGGTAATAGCCAATCATAAGCGTTTTGATGGATTTAAATGGTTTAAATTGACTTGCCTTTGCATGTGTTTGTGACAATGACATCCGAAGGGCAAAACTTGCTCACCTTTTCGCGAACAACTGGCATGGGATAGTGATTCATGAACACATGCTTAGGACATTATGCAAACGGTTTTGTCGAATTTATTATTATTATTAAGCATAACTGTATTCTTCATGTTTTTATAAAACCAAATTTCTAAGGAAGGATTTCTATATGCGTTCCACTAAAAGGAATCATAACTCTACAGGTTTTATTGAATGAAATGAACACGCCACAGTTTCGTAGTTTATTTCAGACAGTTAACAAAAGCAAGGGAAGATTTGTGATGTTTGATGTTTGACATGTTTGATGAGTTTGAAGTTTGACATGTTTGATATGTTTGACATTTTATGTTTGATGTTTTTAAGATGTTTGATATATTTAACATGTTTGATGCGTTTGACATTTTTTATGCGTTTGAGATGCTTGACATGCTTGAAATATTTAACAGTTTTCAAATGTTTGACATGTTTGATACGTTTGATATTGCAGCTGGTTTGAGCAAGTTCGCCCGCCTGGCGCGGTCTGTGACGCGGAACCGGTCCACCCTGCTGCAGTTTTCATCGCATATGCCAAATACAAAGTTTGACAACTCAAAGCCGTCACAAATTGCGAACGTGAGTCGAAATATGCACATGCCCTGTACCTCTTCCCGAGATTGCCTGATCAACAAACAAACTAATGAAGAATTATCATGAAGGTCATTGTACAAATATACAAACAAATATAATTATGTAAGATGCGTCACTATTGCCTACATAAATTTGAATGGTCGTTGGGAGTGTAAGTACAGAGACGTCATGGAAAACTGATGATGATAGCGTGTACTGTACATACAGTCCGTCAACAGGATGTTCCGGTTTTGTCTCGCGGTCTTATAGTTTCACACAGGGCACCAATTAATACGACTAGACACTCAGAATGGGCTCAGTATAGGTTAAACTCAAATTGACAGGACGGCTGGGAGTCAGTATACTGTGTCTGAGTGGGGTGTTCATGTTGAACTACGACATGGTGTCTCAGTGGGTTAGCGCTATAAAATCGGCATTAGTGCACGTCGCTATATAAGTGCAATAATCTTGCACGTCGCTATATAAGTGCAATAATCTCAGACGCGACGTTAAACCCAATTTCACCTCACCTCACCTCAAATATTATAATATGCTCTCGTCTCTATTTACATGTTTAAACGCTGGAGACAGGTCAGGGTTTATACCCCTTTTGTCTACACTTGTGTAATACATGCAGTCTTGCCCCGTCTTGCACCCTGGGGAACCGTCAATATGTATAACCCTTGTGTCTACACTTGTGTAATACATGCAGTCTTGCCCCGTCTTGCACCCTGGGGAACCGTCAATATGTATAACCCTTGTGTCTACACTTGTGTAATACATGCAGTCTTGCCCCGTCTTGCACCCTGGGGAACCGTCAATATGTATAACCCTTGTGTCTACACTTGTGTAATACATGCAGTCTTGCCCCGTCTTGCACCCTGGGGAACCGTCAATATGTATAACCCTTGTGTCTACACGTGTGTAATACATGCAGTCTTGCCCCGTCTTGCACCCTGGCGACCCATCAATATGTATAACCCTTGTGTCTACACGTGTGTAATACATGCAGTCTTGCACCGTCTTGCACCCTGGCGAACCGTCAATATGTATAACCCTTGTGTCTACACTTGTGTAATACATGCAGTCTTGCCCCGTCTTGCACCCTGGCGAACCGTCAATATGTATAACCCTTTTGTCTACACTTGTGTAATACATGCAGTCTTGCCCCGTCTTGCACCCTGGGGAACCGTCAATATGTATAACCCTTGTGTCTACACGTGTGTAATACATGCAGTCTTGCCCCGTCTTGCACCCTGGCGACCCATCAATATGTATAACCCTTGTGTCTACACGTGTGTAATACATGCAGTCTTGCACCGTCTTGCACCCTGGCGAACCGTCAATATGTATAACCCTTGTGTCTACACTTGTGTAATACATGCAGTCTTGCCCCGTCTTGCACCCTGGCGACCCATCAATATGTATAACCCTTGTGTCTACACGTGTGTAATACATGCAGTCTTGCACCGTCTTGCACCCTGGCGAACCGTCAATATGTATAACCCTTGTGTCTACACTTGTGTAATACATGCAGCCTTGCACCCTGGCGAACCGTCAATATGCATAACCCTTGTGTCTACACGTGTGTAATACATGCAGTCTTGCCCCGTCTTGCACCCTGGCGAACCGTCAATATGTATAACCCTTGTGTCTACACTTGTGTAATACATGCAGTCTTGCCCCGTCTTGCACCCTGGCGAACCGTCAATATGCATAACCCTTGTGTCTACACTTGTGTAATACATGCAGTCTTGCCCCGTCTTGCACCCTGGCGAACCGTCAATATGTATAACCCTTGTGTCTACACGTGTGTAATACATGCAGTCTTGCCCCGTCTTGCACCCTGGCGAACCATCAATATGTATAACCCTTGTGTCTACACGTGTGTAATACATGCAGTCTTGCCCCGTCTTGCACCCTGGCGAACCGTCAATATGTATATCCCTTGTGTCTACACGTGTGTAATACATGCAGTCTTGCCCCGTCTTGCACCCTGGCGAACCGTCAATATGTATAACCCTTGTGTCTACACTTGTGTAATACATGCAGTCTTGCCCCGTCTTGCACCCTGGCGAACCGTCAATATGTATATCCCTTGTGTCTACACGTGTGTAATACATGCAGTCTTGCCCCGTCTTGCACCCTGGCGAACCGTCAATATGTATAACCCTTGTGTCTACACGTGTGTAATACATGCAGTCTTGCCCCGTCTTGCACCCTGGCGAACCGTCAATATGTATAACCCTTGTGTCTACACTTGTGTAATACATGCAGTCTTGCCCCGTCTTGCACCCTGGCGAACCGTCAATATGTATATCCCTTGTGTCTACACGTGTGTAATACATGCAGTCTTGCCCCGTCTTGCACCCTGGCGAACCGTCAATATGTATATCCCTTGTGTCTACACGTGTGTAATACATGCAGTCTTGCCCCGTCTTGCACCCTGGCGAACCGTCAATATGTATAACCCTTGTGTCTACACTTGTGTAATACATGCAGTCTTTCCCCGTCTTGCACCCTGGCGAACCGTCAATATGTATAACCCTTGTGTCTACACGTGTGTAATACATGCAGTCTTGCCCCGTCTTGCACCCTGGCGAACCGTCAATATGTATATCCCTTGTGTCTACACGTGTGTAATACATGCAGTCTTGCCCCGTCTTGCACCCTGGCGAACCGTCAATATGTATATCCCTTGTGTCTACACGTGTGTAATACATGCAGTCTTGCCCCGTCTTGCACCCTGGCGAACCGTCAATATGTATAACCCTTGTGTCTACACGTGTGTAATACATGCAGTCTTGCACCCTGGCGACCCATCAATATGTATAACCCTTGTGTCTACACTTGTGTAATACATGCAGTCTTTCCCCGTCTTGCACCCTGGCGAACCGTCAATATGTATAACCCTTGTGTCTACACTTGTGTAATACATGCAGTCTTGCCCCGTCTTGCACCCTGGCGAACCGTCAATATGTATATCCCTTGTGTCTACACGTGTGTAATACATGCAGTCTTGCCCCGTCTTGCACCCTGGCGAACCGTCAATATGTATAACCCTTGTGTCTACACGTGTGTAATACATGCAGTCTTGCACCCTGGCGACCCATCAATATGTATAACCCTTGTGTCTACACTTGTGTAATACATGCAGTCTTTCCCCGTCTTGCACCCTGGCGAACCGTCAATATGTATAACCCTTGTGTCTACACTTGTGTAATACATGCAGTCTTGCCCCGTCTTGCACCCTGGCGAACCGTCAATATGTATAACCCTTGTGTCTACACGTGTGTAATACATGCAGTCTTGCACCCTGGCGACCCATCAATATGTATAACCCTTGTGTCTACACTTGTGTAATACATGCAGTCTTGCCCCGTCTTGCACCCTGGCGAACCGTCAATATGTATAACCCTTGTGTCTACACTTGTGTAATACATGCAGTCTTGCCCCGTCTTGCACCCTGGCGAACCGTCAATATGTATATCCCTTGTGTCTACACGTGTGTAATACATGCAGTCTTGCACCGTCTTGCACCATGGCGAACCGTCAATATGTATAACCCTTGTGTCTACACGTGTGTAATACATGCAGTCTTGCACCCTGGCGACCCATCAATATGTATAACCCTTGTGTCTACACGTGTGTAATACATGCAGTCTTGCCCCGTCTTGCACCCTGGCGAACCGTCAATATGTATAACCCTTGTGTCTACACTTGTGTAATACATGCAGTCTTGCACCGTCTTGCACCATGGCGAACCGTCAATATGTATAACCCTTGTGTCTACACGTGTGTAATACATGCAGTCTTGCACCCTGGCGACCCATCAATATGTATAACCCTTGTGTCTACACGTGTGTAATACATGCAGTCTTGCCCCGTCTTGCACCCTGGCGAACCGTCAATATGTATAACCCTTGTGTCTACACTTGTGTAATACATGCAGTCTTGCCCCGTCTTGCACCCTGGCGAACCGTCAATATGTATAACCCTTGTGTCTACACGTGTGTAATACATGCAGTCTTGCCCCGTCTTGCACCCTGGCGAACCGTCAAAATGTATAACCCTTTTGTCTGGCACGTCGCTAAATAAGCGCAATAATCTTACGTTTCTTTACGACGTTAAACCCCATTTCACCTCACCTCACCTCACCTCAGCATGAACGTATTGTCAAGGACCAATTACATGGCATTATTGTATATCAAAATCATCTTTGGCAGCAGATGATGAACCTGAACACGGATGTCCTACCCCAGTACCGCCTGGAGGCTCCCAAGACGCCTCCCCACATCATCCTCCACTACTGCGTCTTCAAGACAATCTGGGACTGGATCATCCTCGTCCTCACCTTCTATACCGCCATCATGGTCCCTTATAACGCCGCCTTCAAGATCAAGACAATGGACCAGCTGCCCCTCCTCGTTATCGACAGCATGGTGGATGTCGTGTTCTTCGTCGACATCGTTTTGAACTTTCACACCACATTTGTGGGGCCAAGTGGCGAGGTTATATCAGATCCTAAGATCATACGAATGAACTATTTAAAGAGCTGGTTCGTGATTGACCTACTTTCCTGTTTACCATACGATGTCTTCAATGCGTTTCAGTATGTGGACGATGTGAGTATGACATATATTTTTTTGTATTTTTCCACGATTCTGCTATTGACATACTGCAGACCAAAGTATATAAGGTCATAAACAGAATCTCCTAAAATATATTATTATATTTATAAATATAATCGTTGACATGTTAATGGAAGAGAGTAATTCGGACCTCCAAGGGGAACGGGTGGACAAATAGTTTAAAGGCGACTCAAATCGCCTGCAGCATGTGTCACCTTGTTGCCAGATTCAACTTTGGATCACGCATTCGAATCCAAGTTTTTGACCCAATGCTGCTACTTATTCTGTCAGCAGCAACCCCCTTTCTAATCGGTACCATCAGAGTGGTAAATGTCTTCGGCCTAATTTAACTTAACATGCTATGATGCAATTAACTGAAAACTGTTCAACGTTGCGTCAAATACGTCTTTCCCTATCCGGAAGTTTAAAAAAGACGAATGCGGAAGCTTTACACTTTTCTCAAAAGACAATATTTATTTTTTCTATTGACGTTGAAGTGTTATTGTAACTATGCCCTTTTGAAACAAAACACTTTAGAACTGTTCAACTTTGACTCATTTATTTTATATTCATGTTTTATGTCCTGTTCCTTCAGGGAATCAGTACTCTGTTCAGCGCCCTCAAAGTGGTTCGTCTTCTCCGACTGGGGCGTGTCGTGAGGAAGCTGGATCATTACTTGGAGTACGGGGCCGCCATGTTGGTTCTGCTCATCCTAGTCTTCATACTCTTCGCCCATTGGTTCGCGTGCAGTTGGTACTCCATAGGAAACGCCGAACTGCTAAGTAACGTGGAATACGGTTGGCTGCCTATCCTGGCCAAGCTGACCAAGTCGCCATTCATACGATCCAACACATCCTCAGTGGACGAGCTGGAAGGCGGGCCGGACAAGAGCATGCGTTATCTGACCTCCCTGTACTTCTCTCTGTCTTGCATGACCGGCGTCGGCTTTGGCAACGTCGCCGCCAACACCGCAAGTGAAAAACTCTTCTCCGTCTTCATGATGATCATTGGATGTAAGTGGCATCAAACAAAACACACCCATATTTCAAAGAACATTGTTGTTGTTTGTTTGTTTGTTGTGTAACGCCGCACTGAGCAATATCCCAGCTATATGACGGCGTTCTAGTACCTTATGTTTGTCGAATGAGCCGATAAAAGTAGGAATTGTGAGTTTCAATATGTGCCCTGGCTAATCGTATGCCTTCGTACCCCGACGGCTTGGATTATTGCTCATGGTATCCATCACTGGTTGCCTTGCCAAAACTCAACTATCAACATGCTAACGTGATACAGCTGAAATAGCGCTAAATGTAAGCCGTAAAACAACACTCATTCACTTCATTCAACTTCCATAACAGCCAATTACAACATCTCGTTTTAAATAAAGAGGATGTAATGTTACCACGGAAGTAATGTAGTTAGAAACACGTAAACCATGAGTGAAGCTAGCATCTATTGGCGGAGACCTGGCGACTGTCTTGGCAGCTGTAGGTGTTCCCTGGCCTAACCTCACAGCCTCTAACGCTGGGATGGTGTTTACCTGCCACAGCGGCGTAGATCGATGCGCGCCATCACACGCGGAGGAGATTATGTAATTGTACTGGGTATTGATGGGCTTTTTAACTCAATCAATCAAATGGTTATGGGGATTTTCTGTATATGGATAAACGGGGCAACTCAAAGGGGTATTAAGGGCAGTGTTCTGGTAAAGAGACAAAAAGAGAGGGAAATAATGGCTTCAGGTGAAACACTTCACTTACGGCGGAGTAAAACCGTCAACGAGATCTTGGTGAAGAGGTTCCGACGTGGGGGAATGTTCGATCAGACCGTTTGAAAACGTGGTCTTTTATAGTGAGATGAAATGGAGTCTTGCAATTGGCTGTTTCTCGTCCAACTCTTTGAGGTTATTGGAGAGTCGATCTGAAAGAGTTCTCTATCCTTCACATTAATTGAATATGAAGAACTTTAGCGCTAAGTAGTATTGAAATTTTATGTGATGTTTTAATCCCTTGAGTATAAGCTATACCCTAACCATAATACAGTTTTCGGAATGTTGTCACCTCTTCGGTCACATGTCAATAACAACTAGTACAGTAAACTACGGTTATAAGGAACTCAAAGGGACTTCTAATTTTAGTTCGTTATAACCGTAATTCGTTATAAGCATATATACAGCATAACTACAGCATATAGTCGGGACTAAAAAGTTAGTTCGTTATATCCGTTTGTTCGTTATAACCGTGTTCGTTATAACCGTAGTTTACTGTACATCTACATGTGACGTTAATATTACAGCAAATACAATTCCCTTGATCATGTCCACACGAAAGGTTGATATAGCTGCCCAGCTGAGACGCATAGAATACGTATAGTTGTAGCCGTTATTATTTCTTCTTTTCATAGCGCACAATCATATGTTATACTCCCCATGAAGCAGAGAATTTGAATGAACACAGAATACTGAAAATAATGTCATTCTCGATGGGTTGGGGGTAGGGGTGGGGTTGGGGCGGTATTGTAGCCTAGTTTAATTTATATATATGGTGTAAATTTATTTTGTACAAGGGGAGCTGCGGTCGGGTAGTCTAGTGGTTAAAGCGTTCGCTCTTCACGCCGAAGACCCGGGTTCGATTCCCCACATGTGTACAATGTGTGAAGCCCATTTCCGGTGTTCCCCCGTCGTGATATTGCTGGAATATTGCTAAAAGCGGCGTAAAACCATACTAACTCACTCAATCATTCTCGACGGAGGCTGTCCATAGACAGGGGAAATGATGTGACATCCTGGCCCATAGGCTATTTGAGTGGAGTATTCGTATTCTTACTAGTGTCGTCATCATCATCTTCAATGGCCATGCTTACTGATGACTATGCCAGAAGTCGATCTTAACTCCCACTTGACGTTTTCTTGCAGCGCTTCTGTACGCCACCATCTTCAGTAACGTGACGACGATATTCCAGCAGTTCTACGCCAGCTTCGCCCGCTACCACGACATGCTCAACAGTGTCCGGGAATTCATGAAGCTGCACGACGTCCCCAAGGCTCTCAGTGAACGTGTAATGGACTACATCGTCTCCACCTGGGCCATTACCAAGGGCATCGACGCTGCTAAGGTACGCGACGTCAAACTCCATTTATGTCGCCGTCATTGTCGGTCCCCCTGTAGTGTTACACATGTCACCATGGCATTGAAGAATGCTTGATTCTGATTGGTCAAAACAGGATTAAAAGCAGGTAAAGAATGGAATTCGATACCTCTAAATTAACAGTCCTCTCCACGAAAGTGCTCAGTTCCAAATTAAAATAAGAGGTATGGAATCTACCGTAGGCTTATCTCATAAATGAGATCGACACAATGTACAGGTGACCAATCGTCTAATGCGCCGCAATTCGCTGTGCAGAGTTGCGTCCCTTTGGCACACCAGAAACCTTTGATCGTGGGTTCGAATCTCCGTTCGTCCCGACTATGTTTCTGGATTTGTCAGCATCATACTCGAGCTAATGGTTTCAACCCTGCCGTCCAACCGTGAACACTCGCCTCTTTCAAATTTGGATTGTCGCATAATGTCACAGTCGCTTGCAATTACAAATTAATAGATAGGACCCCCAAGTCAATTGAAAATTTACTGTAAACTTCACTGTGACCTGTATTGATTGTCACAATAGAAAGGCAATGCTATCAGATGACATCAGGTCTTACAAACCCCCTGAGTGGCTTTCTCGCTCCATTAGCCTTTATATGCTAAATATAAAGTTTCAAGTAACTGGATCCTTGGAGTCTTTCCATACTCAACAACATGGCATACATTATTCACAATAACCGCCATTTGTAAAGAGCTAACTCGCCTGACAATCAGACAAGTCAGCCGGCATTGATCAGTCTCATTTGGGCTGCCATTTTGCTTCAATACGAAAGCTTCGAAATGGTCACTCAACCGGAAGTTACGTAGACCCATTGTACCCGAAATGGTGACCATCTATGACATGACATTGTGTGTGTTTTCGTTGGTGGTGTATCACACGCAAACTTATTGGGAATCGATAGCATGGTTAAGCAGACAAAATCATTAAACATATTGTCATATAACAACTTTATTTTTGTGTTATAACCAGGTTTCGGTTTTGATCCTTATACCGTTGTCAAGCAAGCACGACGGTATAAGGATCTATACCGAAACGTCGCTATTACGTTGTTATGAATCAAACAAGTCGATACCATGGTTGTCACAGTCATTGATAATTCTATCGAGTTGAAAATTCAATCAGTTTGATTAAAACTTGTTCTGTTTTGGTGTTTATCGTGGTAAAGATACAGGTGGTGAGATACTAAATCCGTATGTCACACGTGTGTCGTACAAGGTTGACCTCTTTTTATTCGTTTTGCTTGGATAACCGTGACCTCTCTCACACCAGAACTACCTTTTTCATTCATCAAAAATCCGAACTGAAGAAATCTCATGACGAGATATTTACAACACTTTGTTAAACCAACCAAGATAGTCACACGCATCAAATTCGCTTTGTAGTCTATATTTGTTATGCCAAGAGCTACTCCTGACATTATATAATCGAGTTATATCAATTTGCAATGTACGACTACCAATAGATCGAGGGTCCCTATGAGCGTGACGCAGCCCGCGACCACTTTCGCGACTTTCAATCTGATTTAACGTAAAAGATTACGCGTGGTGAAATGAAGTCAGTTGAAACGGTCTCGACAGATATCTGGACAAACGTGGGATGCTCCGGTTGTGCCATCAGTGTCCACTACGAAGCGTATTATGTGACATTGCTTCCGAAGGTGTTTGTTCATCAGGTAATACACGACTGCGCGACCAGATCACTCAAAGTGAACAGTTCCGACACAAATTATTCGAAAATTCCGTGCCTGACTTCTGTTTTTGTGTCCTAAAACATCCTCAATGTGAACAATAACATTTCCTCTTGATCTCTAGCGTAAAACACTGTGATTAGATCCCACTTTTCTTATTGCGATGGTGACCTTGCCCTTCGTTCGAAGTTGTCTCTGACATGCAAGCAGACTAGATTTTGTTGGTTTCCACGTCTTCAGTATAGGGTCGTACAGTCAACATAAACGTGTTTGGCGAGCACTCTGGTTTCCCTCTTCCAAAGCGGTACGTAATGATATAAATTCAGCTGATAGATCAAGGAAACCGCACCATTTTGAATGATAAGCGGGGATCCCAGCGGTGCGAGTGACCGAGTGTTGGTCCGAGATTCAAAGCGTTTTCAAAGAGTTTTGTTACATTCGTCCAGCGTACTGAAAACAATGCGCCTGAATTACCAAAAGTTGCAGAAATTCTAAAATAAAGATTTTGAGCATTGGTGCTGCCAGGTTTGCACACAACAGAAGGAACATGTTGTTAATGCGTATGCATAGAAATGTCAACAATGCCCATGTTTGGGCATTTATTAATATTCACGCGCAACCAGTTTTGCGACCGGTTTCAGTTTGGTCTGTTAACAAACAATAAATTGGTATAATGTATTTACACTTAAATATATACATAACGTAGGTAATAAATAAAATACCACACTCATTCTCGTTAGGTACCATTTTTACGACACTCGCGAACTTTCTATGGTATGATACTTTCTGATACCAGTCCACTCGTGTCGTCAAAATGGTATCTAGCGAGAATGAGTGTAGTATTCTCTATTGGCGTCATTCAATTTACTGTATGCTACAGTTGTTTTACACTTCCCTATCCATGAGTTAGCATATTCATTAAAGTATTGGATACTACATCATGAAATGCGAATGGCTACGACATGAAGTATGCCTAGCTGGAGTGGTTTAGTGATGTAGTTGTGCAAGCACAAGGAAACTTGGAAAAAAAACCAATTCATTGCAATAAAGTTGATTTTTTTAAAAGCTGAGTAACTTTAATTAAATTTACATGTACCATTATTGTTTTTGTTTATTGATTTAATATAACGAGTGACACCTTTCAACCCTTTTCATCTATTCCATGTCAGAATTTAAATTTATCTCTCAATGTATCTGTCATTATAAAACAACATTGTTGTTTCGTCTTGAAATCAAAGCCGATAATACGTGAGCCATCATCGTCGGGGACATGAAAGACGCGTTGAAGCCAAGTAACAATGCTATTATCGACAAGTATCGACCAGATATCGATCTATCGATTCTCACGACAGGTGTAACTAAAAGTGATTGATTGATTTTCTGATCGGCCCGCGACGGTAAAACCTCGTGCTTGAGTCAACATTGAGGGTCTGTGTCCCCGATTGATTCTACCTGTATTGCCGAAGTCGATGTGGGTCTGCCCAATGCGGACCGGGCTTCAAGTGGCCCCAAACACCTCAACTGATTTACTTAATCTCATTATGATCGCATTGTAAGCACAGTTTGTTTGTTCAAACCCAGAAGCATGCCAGGCGAATTCCATCGATTGAATTCCAAGACAAACACCGTTTTCCATTTCTTTAGCCCCCATTGAGTGTAAAGTATAAATTCTCAGATATAAATCAAAAAGGTTTATCCTGTGTCAATCAGGGCTGTATAAATTGCCCCAGTCCTCCGAGAGTTAGGTGTGTTATCTCGACTCTCCTGCTCGTGCGTCCTCCATGCGATTGCCTGTTCATTTAGAACAAACGCTTGTTTAACAAATCAATAAGCTCTTTGAAAATGTGTACGTCATAATTTAAAAATTCATACCGACACTTATAGTATACAATACCAGCCAATAATCTTTTATCAGCTATTGTTTGTACAAGAGAAATTTAGGGTTTTTTTCTGCATTGGTCTTGTTGAGGCTTGCCCTTAGATAGCCATTCTCAAAGTCGTATTACCTGAGCGCAAGGTAGGTAGACGGTGTTTACGCCGATGTGGAAATTGCTCCACGTTAATTCTACCTTAAAGCACTTTTTAATCATGCTAATTTAGGACGTCATAAATCATGCATGGGCAGCACTCAAATGCCGGAAGTCCTCTATGAAGTGTACCATTATTGAAAACGAGGCTGGCAAACGGGAAATTCATTCCAATAAACGTAAAACTCTGAGTGAAAGTGATTAATTTATAACCTCGCTATACCTAATAAAATACAATTTCCTAAAGCATAATGTCTCCTACGCTAAGACAGCAACTGGTTCATGGGACCTCCCACGACTGATCAACATGCCCGGATTTTAAGGTATCGATCCGGAAGGTGAATACCGGACCGAACCGGGTTAACTCCTCAGGCAACATCGTGTATATTTGCCGGAAAAATCTTGTTAGAACAGTAGCGTCTATTGCTGAAACAAATACCCACGGGCAACTGTGTAACGGAAAGAAGCCGACCAGGAAGCGCATATGAGGATGTTGGAACATTCTTGTCACATAGAATCCAAATGATTTGTATAGTTTAAGGGCATGACCTTACAAACACACGCAAAGTAGATTTTTTGATAAGTTCTTCTCGTTGTTTCCCGGAACACATCAAGGACACACTGCGTGCCCAATCGGTATAGTGTTTGGCGGAAACAGTGGAACTTCCTCGTGTATAATGTCAGCTTCGATGACAGGAAACTGTCGGGCAAAAATATACACCCATGAGTGAGTGAGTATGGTTTTACGCCGCTTTTAGCAATATTCCAGCAATATCACGGCGGGGGGACACCAGAAATGGGCTTCACGCATTGTACCCATGTCGGGAATCGAACCCGGGTCTTCGGCGTGACGAGCGAACGCTTTAACCACTAGGCTACCCGACCGCCCTCTACACCCATGAGTAGTGGTTAATGATGAAACAAACAAGAAATGGTTATTCGATGGTGATGTATTTGATACAGGTATAATGGTTGTTTTGGACTGTTTTCAGCCTAGCAACGTTTTTATAGTCTTTGTAAGTTTTTGGTCAAATCCACTTATCAAGTGCTTTCTTTTGGCAATATATCCACTGTCGTGTTCCGACAAAAACTTAATTAAGTAACGTTTCTTTTAAGCGTAGAAATTGTATTGAAAAATAACACTAAACTTCCGGGCGAAAGAAAGTAAACTGAATTTGATACCCGTATCAAATACACAACCACCAAATAACCATATTTTGTTTCATATTAGCCACCATCAAACAAGAGTGTAAGCTTGCTTTTGACAGGTTGTTTCTTTTAGGCAGGTCACATTAAACCAGATCATACGGTCGTTAGTGTGGGAACTGGGATTTACTCTGATTTTAACATTATTTTAGTTATAAACAATATTTAAATTTAATTTGAAAGGAAAGTTCAAAAGGACGCAGACCGCCACCATTTGTGTGTTTGTATCAATCTACGAACACGGAATGACGCAGGCAAACCAAGAGTAATAATTGAATACTGGATTCGAACCTCCGACGTACGGATCCTTGTAGTTAAGGGGCACAACTCTGCACAGCCAATTGCGGAGCCTCACGCCACAAGGTCATCCGTCCCCAGCACTGAACGTGTATCAATACGTTTAACATTTGAACGTATGTCCGATCTCCCCAACTCCCTGTTCACCTCGATTATGTTTCTAGGTTTGTCAGCACCATACCCATGGGTATCACCGAAGTGGTAAACGTCTGAGACCTGAATCACTTCGGGCTTTCCTCCCACATTAAGCAGACACGCCGTGATATAACTGGAATACTGTTAAAAGCGACGATAAGCCCAACTCACTCACTCACTCACTTAAACTTGGTGATGCTCATATAAATATCGTTGAATATTTGAAATGTGAGTGCTAACATCAATTGTTTGGGAAAGGTTAGTCACATAGTGTATATGTTAAATCTTCATGGTAATGGAGTACTTGCATACCATGGAGGTCTTCAGCTCAAAGCCTGTTCTTAATATTATTTGTATAATTCTTAACCTTACATTTGGTGTTTCAGGTTTTAAACTATTGCCCCAAGGACATGAAGGCTGACCTCTGTGTCCACTTGAACCGGAAGGTCTTTCTCGAGCATCCTGCATTCCGATTGGCTAGTGACGGGTGTCTGCGCGCTCTGGCCATGCACTTCAACATGACACACAGTGCACCGGGTGACCTCATCTTCCACCAGGGAGAGAGTCTCGACGCCCTGTGTTTTGTCGTGTCGGGGTCACTAGAGGTCATCCAGGACGAAGAGGTGGTTGCAATACTCAGTAAGTATATCATTTTATCACCAATATTATATAAAATATAGTAGTAGTAGTAGTAGTAGTAGTAGTAGTAGTAGTAGTAGTACTAGTGAGTGTGAGTATGGTGTTACGCCGCTTTTAGCAGTGTTCCAGAATATAAAGGCGGGGGACACCTAAATTAGGCTTCACACATTGTACCCATGTCGGGAATCGAACCCGGGTCTTCGGCGTGACGAGCGAACGCTTTAACCACTAAGCTACCCGACCGCCCCTAGTGGTAGTGGTGGTGGTAGTGGTAGTGGTGGTGGTGGTAGTGGTGGTGGTAGTGGTAGTGGTAGTGGTAGTTGTAGTGGTGGTGGTAGTGGTAGTGGAGGTGGTAGTGGTAGTGGTAGTTGTAGTGGTGGTGGTAGTGGAGGTGGTAGTGGTAGTGGTAGTGGTATTTGCAATGACTTGTCATGGTTACCATAATGTTAATGAGGCAGCGTAACAGTGTCACACAGGATGCTATATTTACAGACCTGGCTGGAAAAAGGAAGGGGCCATTTGCCATTCCGTCTTTTACAAACTTCAATCATTAGTGACAGGGGCGGTCGGGTAGCCTAGTGGTTAAAGCGTTCGCTCGCCACGCCGAAGACCCGAATTCGATACCCAGCATGGGTACAATGTGTGAATCCCATATCTAATGTCCCCCGCCATGATATTGATGGAATATGCTAAAAGCGGCGTAAAACCATACTCACTCACGCATGAGGGACACAACGTTTTGGAAACTCGATATTCAAACCAAAGTATGTTAGAAACTATGCAACTCAACTTCAGATATAATATTGTTCCTCGATCAGTTTTATCTCCCACGTAAAGATTCTTGAAGATTACATATGTTTCTGTTTCCGTTTAGGTAAAGGCGATGTATTCGGTGATAACTTTTGGAAGGAGCAGACGATTGGTCAGTCTACTGCCAATGTGCGCGCGCTGACCTATTGTGACCTCCACTCCATCAAACGAGATCGTCTGCTGGAGGTTCTAGAGTTCTACCATGCCTTCGCCAACTCCTTCGCCAGGAACCTCACCCTCACCTACAACCTCCGGCACAGGGTGAGTAGTATGTAAGATAAGGAGCCACACTTGCTGTAGATACGGGCCAGGAGGGCACAGAGTAGAAGACGGAGAAGACGTCACTGTGCTTTAAAGACCTATTACCCTTTGACAAGGTTAAACAGTGCGGCGGGTTTATGTAACATACACGGGAATAAGAATTGTCTGTCCAGCAATGATAAAAACAACAACAAATTGAAAAATGGCTACCAAAAAGAAATGTATTAATGGGGATTAAATCGATATCAGGCAGAATTTCTGCATTTGTGTGAAAGATTTATTGCTTATACGTTATGCGACAAATTTTACAGAATAGCTTTGTGTGCTCAGCCCGATTTACCATGGAAACGGTTTTAAGAGTAAACATTGAAATGACTTACCCAAATATGTAAATATGTATTGTTACTGAAGTCAGATGTAATGAGTCGAGAAATATGTAAGAAGCTGCACCAGGATATACTTTATGTAAACTGTTACAGAGGGAATAATTTCAGGATTGTTAAGAAAACCTGGACTCACGTGTTATATGTTTCCTTCCAGCTCATTTTCCGAAAGGTCGCAGACGTCAAGAAAGAACGTGAACTAGCCGAGAAGAGAAAGAACGACCCACCTCTCGATCTTGCAAACGACCATCCAGTGCGCAAACTCATATCTCGCTTCCGTAAAATTAGTGACGCACGCACGCAACAGGTCGGAATCGATGTCGAGAAAGGACAACAAAATGGCGGCCAAGCTCTGAACAATGTCGAGAGACCAAAGAGTGGTACGAGGGTCATCAATGTCTCCGAGAGCAGTGCCACCCCGGCTGTTCCCAAACTTGGAGGGGGGTCATCCAAGTGGGGCAAGTTTCTGGGTGGGATGGGTGGCGGAGGAAAGGGACAGGACCCTGCACCTGACAACAACCAAAATAAAATGCTAATGACTGAAATTCCCCCAAAGACTGACAATCGTGCGAATGATGCCCCCAAAGCCGCCGTTAAACCTCTGTCCAAGTGGGGCAAGTTTCTCAGCAAGCAACAAGAGCCAATTGTCGAATCCCCCGAAGAGGAGGTGAAGACCAACCTGAAAAAGACCGATTCTACTGATAGTGGAATTCTACGAAGTAACAACTGTCTTGACCAGATAGGGGAAGAGCCTGTTCGGAGCGGCGAGCAGACCAACAGAACCAGTATAAACTCGCTGGGGGGCCTGTCTGCAGCAGAACAGCATATGATGACGTCACTGTACGACATACGGCTTGAGATTAAAGAGGAGATGGACTCTCTTAATTTCAAGATGAACAGAATCGATGAACAAATTAGTGAAATTCTAAGATTCTTTTCACCTACATCCACCCCGTGTTCGTCTTTAATCTCCACATACCCTAGCTCAAAGTTCAACTCCCCGCAAAACATGACGACGTCGAACAGTGTCGAACATTCTCCAAAACACTCTGCTTCATCATCCCCGAGACATTTCCGGGAAAACGCAGATGGGAAATCCAGTTTAGCTGGTTCTTCAGCTTCCGGTGACTCCAGTCCTCGCCGGAAGTCTAGTCCAGATCCCTACGTGACAACGTCACAGCCTCACAACACCAGTCGGAGGTCGAGCAAGACCTCAAGCGGAAGTGTAGTGAGCGTCGGAAGCGGAAGTAGTAAGGCCTCTGGGAAGAGGAAGACTTCTGATCAGCAACAAGTGAGCACGCTGGCCAGTCAGACCCAAGGGTTACCTGAAGATGACGAGCATGTGCATATCAAAGACCGTGACCTTGACATTTTATGAAACGTTTCTTGATATATATATCACGGGAGATTAGTACCGTTAGAATGGAAATTTTACACTTCCAGTTTTTCAAGGATATCTGTGTTAATTCATTTTCCGTCCTTGTGAATCAAGGTTTAGCAACATGCACCTTGAGATGAAAGTCGACTTTAGTCGAGTGAGACACCGTTTACGTGGCTGACTGACCCCAAACACCAGTGCCACACAATTCAGATGACCAAAGCAGTTGTCTCCATTTGACGCCACTCCACAGAGCTGCGAGTTTTTGGTGCATTGCACACCGTGGGTGTGTCGTTTCCCATGTGTTGTTATGGTGACGTATCTTGAAGGACTGAGGACAAAGGTTGTGATAGAGACTGGACTCTGGATGCAAATGAAGAAGCTATTGTTAACGGATTTAATGTGATGTTTTCGCAACTACCCTGTGATGTAAGTTTGATGGAGTCCTTCCACCAATCTTGTCTGTAGAACCAGTTTGCTTCTTTGGAGTGAACAGATGCAACAAGTTACTCTACCAACAATTATTTAGGATGTGCCTTGGATGGGTGCTCCAAAGTTCAAATATATTATTTTCTACAAACTCAAAACGTTATTGTTGAAATGTGCAAGCCGCATTGCATTTGTTGGCTGTTAACATTATATTGACTTCTTGAGAGGTTGTGATATCACGTGACCGAGGGTCAAAGGTGAAAGGACATATGGAGGGTTCGTCTCAAGACGTATAGGGCAATCAAGCTATTATTTCGTATATAGAGATGACGCCGGCCATGCTTACATACACGTCCACTGCCTGCTATTACATAAATGAGATTTTCACACAATCATTCCGAAATATACAGTATCTGTATACAAACCAATTGGACTCAATAGATGTTGACTTGTGGCGACATCCAGGTAATGAGACCTTTAGATTGGATATACCTTCTTTTCTTGAAATTCACGTATTGTTTTTTTCAGCTTCATGTATACATATTCACATAATTAGACATCATGACAGTGCTAGCTGCAGTTGCCATTCGCTACTTACATGGAAAGTAAAACGACCACACCCAAGGGTACTGTGTAGGTTCTTTATTTGGGAGGTTTCAATGCACATCGCTCGGCATATTTGAAAAACAGTTTTGTGTGTACGAAAGAGAAGTTCGTAATGGACCGACCGTTTAATATTCTTGAGGCAGGCCTGAGATTTTGTATGGTCCCTCTACAGATGCAAAACCAGGTTTTTGAAAAATTAAAAAAAAGGGCATAATGTAAAAATAATTTAAGAACACCTTGAAATAACGTACTTCGTGTGACAGACAATTCCTTTTTCAACATTTTGAAGAATAATTATTATTTTCAAGCATTTGGGACAATAAATATATATTGATAAAATCCCACTACCCCCACCCACCCCTGCAAGAATATCAAATGATCGGTCCCTGAATAGTACCATTGCGGACTCCTTCTACAGACTGAGATTCATTGAGATTCGTACGCTGGGTTGAGGCGAGCTGAGTGAATTCTGACAATTCTTTGTACTATTCTGTTGTCAGTACGTTCTGCAGTCGGCAGTCAGCTACCCAGGAACATGTCCGACTGGTAGTGCCCTCTTAACTATTCTTACAGCAAGTACTCTGTAAACCATTGCCTTACAACTATTTAAATCATTCCGGATATGGTCTCCGTCTCTTAACCTCTGTGCCAGTCAGACCGTCATTCTACTGTCTTTTGTAAACCCCCTAATAGACAGTACTGTCTTTTGTAAACCCCCTAACAGACAGTACTGTCTTAACACTGCTCGCATTACTCTCTAAACCATTCATACCATTCAACTGCAGGTGAATCTTCACGAAAGATAAGTCAAAAGACTAAATCTAAACATATGTACGAGTATATAAAATTGTATTGATTATAAATCCGGTTTCGCAGCAAACCTCTTGTAAATTATTTTTTAAAAGGATGCGGTAGGTGAAAAATGAGGGGACGAGTTATCCTTAAATAAGTCCGACTTTCAGTATTTTCTAAACCTTTAAACAGTCAGTTATCCTAAAACATTCTTACGGTCGATACTCTGTTAACCATTCCGACAGTCATATCTCATAAAACAATTCTGAAAGTTAGTGCCCTCTAAACCATTCTAACTTCAATTATACCATTTCCGACAATCTATACTCTTTAAATAATTGACAAACGTGTCTCTCTTAAACAATTCTGCGATTAGACTGGAATGTGATGAAATGGTGCCCTGTCTCAAATTCTGAGTGCAACAGTCGTTATTCCGGTGACCGTTTTTAGAGGGTGTCGGTAAAGCCATGAAATGAGAACTGCATCTAGTGTTTACTTTCCACCACGAAGCTTTACTAAGTGACTAGTTCACTATGCAAGGTCACACATCATATTGTCACTTTACCTATTAGTAATCTACGAACTTGAACACCATGTATATATTTACTACATGTCGGTCAAAATAATCATGTTTATCTAAAACTTGTTTTTTACAATATTTCACCAGAAAACCACCGATTCTTACCTCTTCTTTAAACATTCCACCAACAGTCTCACTTTCATGCACTTCTCTATCAAACCACATGCAAATGCAGTTTTTACATTGCTATTGATTTGTTTCAGACTTTTCAGACGATGTCGTTACATCAGTTAAATATTCCAATATTTGATTTTCACTATGTTTTATTTGCCCTCTGAATTACCCGCGGGCTTGATCGTGCTGTGATAGCCCTAACTAGCACGAACTTGAGACACGTTTTACCTCCGCGTGCATAACTCTTAGATTTAGCCTTACATCTTCAGAGGGTTGTGTAAATAGTTGCGTGTTTCTCTTGTTTGCTGTTAATCTGTTATCAATTACATGTTGCTCTCAAAAACCATTTATTTTGTCTCATTTTCATCTTTAAATAAAATTTTGATCTATTCATGACGTGTATTTGTGGAGTGTTCTTTGGCTCCTCGGGGTGGCGACTGTTGTTCTGTCTTGACATTTTGTCCTGGTAACCGGCCTGGTCACCTCACGAAGGTCAGGGTGACCCAGGGAACGATGTAGGGTTACGTTCAAGCAGATCATCCCCTCAAGCTATTATCCTCTTTGGGTATCCATGCACATATGACCAACTTGACGAATAACGTCATTGTCGACCTTTGTGGGTCTCCCATCAAAGAACTATATTTTTATCACCGGCCGTCAAAGGGTATCCATATGACGTCATAATATCAATATTAGATTCAACAGTCATCCTAACATTTCTTCAAAGAGAATTATGTCCTGGACGTGGACGCATGTAGAATGTGTCCTTTCGTGACCTTGACCTTGACTCAAGATCGGCTATTGGTAGGGTACAACCATCCGGCGTATCACGAAATCATTGTTGCATGATTTTCAATCCATAATGCCCCTTGAGTTGAGGTGAAATGGGGTTTAACGTCTCGTCCAAGATTATTGCACTTATATAGCGACGTGCATGTACGTGTGTGTGTTTGTATGGCCGCTTGTACTAGTCCGGACTGATGCCGAATAATAGTGCTAGCTCACTGAGATACCATGCCGCAGTTTAACATGAATACCCCACTCAGACACAGTATACTGACTCCGAGCCGAGCCGACCAGTCCTTGTTTTAGCCCCTTAATGCCGAGCGCCAGACAGGGTAACAACAAGTACCATCTTTTAACGTCTTTTGGTATGACGCGGTCGGGGATCGAACCCCGGACCTTCCGCTCTCCGGGCGGACGCTCTACCACTAGACCACGGAGGCGGTCTTAACCCCCTGGATGCCAGAGGGACATATATGTCCTTCCTCTACAACCCTCACTTTGAAGTCGAATTAAAATTCAAAATACATCACCAACACAAATACACTTCACAATTTTGAATAAGGTGGGACATTTCCTGTTCTGTGATATCATCCACTGGCATTTTAGGCCAAGCAAAAGTACTGAAAATGACCTCTGAAAATGAGGTACATTGTAAATGTCGCCATTTTTTTACACATTACTAAATCACCGCTCACGGCGTTATTTACAGCATGTTTTGAAATCTATATTTAGGATATCTACTCGGAGAAATGAATTTCAAAAATAGCATATTAGTGATCACGGGTATCTGTCTTTTATGAAAACACCAATGATCATTCCAAAACGTCTCCCATAACCCGAGAATCGTTTAGAATGTTTTGGAAAATACGCAAACACGAACGCCGAAGTGAACTTTCCGCCATATTGGCTAGTGTTTACAAAATCACGTTTCAGGTACACCGGTTATGAGGCGCCTGTAACATCGCGTATATGTCAAACTTAGCTGCCATACACACATCCTTGAATTCCTCATACATTTTAGGATCAAATGACCAATGGTCTCTGTCACCAATACAAAGTGGCTGGATGAAATCAAGCAAAATATGTTAGGTGTGAAAACGAACGCTGTCCTCGAAAAACTGCACTTGTTTGAAATGTAAACAAAGCAAAATTCAGATTTTACACAGTGTAGAATTTTCTCCTATTTTGAGCTATCCATTCGTCTATTCGTTCAAGATATAGGCTCAACATTTTCAGAATATGCATGGGAAGAGAATCGTAGGAAGAATTAGGGAATTTCAAATAGATACATTGCAATGATTTGATATTTTCAACAGAAGTTGTCAAAGTTACCGTTCTGGTTGACGCCATGACTGACGCAAAATCACGCACAACGACAACGGTATTTATCGGAATTTCTGACTATTTCCGTTTGTTTCAATGAAAATTATGACAACAAACAACAGTACATAGATTGTCAGAATGTTTCTGATTACTTACATGTCACATTTATGTTTATACGATCCCTGAATCAACGAAAGTCCCCTGGTACAATCCCGCGTACTGTTGACAGTGTACACGCCATTTTGTAAAAGTGGGTCACAGGTAGTGATGTCATACGTCAACATTGTTGTACATATTTGGTAATTTCATTGAGGTGAAGGTCCTTGAATGAGAGTGCACACGATCATTGTATCATGCTGTTTACAGTTTCAGTTATGGTGTATATTTTGCATGTCTTTTATACATTTTTTCACACAATTAATTTTACTTTGGATATTTGTCAATGTTCAAAATGAAATCATACGTTCATATAGGCCACAACATGTATGAACGAACCTTTGATAATCTCCTGTTTGTTTGAACATTGTTTACATAAGAATGTGATAGGTTTATAGTGTCGACTACGATATTTCTTATTTCCTTTGGACAAGTGTTACAAGATGAAGTGTAAATGTAACTGCAGCATGTACGTATTTCTTTGGATGTGTAATAAGTCAATATTATAAGATCATATAACCAATGTCCATGAATAGCCGTTTCATTTTATTTTATAACTAAAACTGATTATATTACTTTAACAAAATGGATAATATTTTTCGGTAAAATATATGCACACATTTCTATAAATGTCTTGGTCTTGGAATTGTCTTTTATGTCGCTAGATACAGAGAAAAGTGATATCTTACGATTCGCCAGGTGCGCGTTAGTCACAAACAATTTACGAATTATTCCTCTCGTTTTGCATTATATAATCAATGGTTTCATTCTTTTGTCAATATTGTGATCACAGGATAGTAAACAGTTTACTTTATTTCTCCAGGAATTGTAAAATGTATAAAAATAAAACCCATGCCAGGTACCCCGTTGGTTCAACCGTATACGATTATCCTGATAATTCTATACCAATAGAGCTTTCTTTGCATCTTTTATTGTGTAAGAAATAATAACATAATAATGAACAAATATATGTCCAATATTGAATATATGTTTGGTTGTTTTAAAATATTCTTTTGGGAATTTTATTACGTAAATTTATGCTAAACAGGTGCGTGTCTTGTCCAATTAAGATACACGATAAACTATCTAATTGTTTACATATTCAAGACATTATTAGCTTGGTGAGAGCAGTAATTTTATGTTGTGTCGAAAAAGCGTCAAATTCCGTTCCACACATCGAGATTTTCCATACCATGAAAGAAAATTAGGGGAGATATATATTAATCAAAATACAAGTGTCGTCTTTCTCCGACGTTATCAAAGACATGAAACCAGCCATGACGTCAAAAGGAATCGTGTTATTTTTCGGGTATTTCATTACATTTGATGATAAGGCATGTGCTCCATTAATAATGATGCAACATAAGTCAAATTACACTTACACAATCAGGAGAATGTTGGAATCTAAGGACTAAGTTATAGGTTAGATAAGGCCATCCATTTCTCTATTAACTCCTTTTTAATGAAGTACGATTTCATAATTTCTTATGGGTATATTTTATAACTAAACGTGTACAGTTTCAATATCGATATTTGTGTTGGAATAGTTTGGTTCCTCCTGAACAAAACACCACGAAAATACATTGTCCTTACCCACAGCTAATTCTCACCAAGTGACCTGAGTTACAACAAACTAGAGCTAAGCATAGCGGAGTTATGTCCCCTTTTCTTTGTACGTGTGAAATCTCTCTGTCACCTTTTGACGTCATAGAGAAAAAGCAGTTTTCGTCATTTACGGCACGCTATTTTTGGAATTGAATGTATGTCGTTATACAAACGCATATAACTCCATTTGATATGTAGTTATGTCCTTCAGATGTTAGGCAGTATTTTGTTCGCTCACAGTTTCCGTAAAGCTTCTTAATTAAAAATTTTGTCGCACAGTACTTTTATCGGTGTACAATAGAAAGCAGAGAAATTAACTGTTTTTCAACGCAGAATATATTCTCGGACAACACTTAGGAGTGTCTTTTTTTGTAAACCGGTTTGATATTTACAGTTAAATTTACACCATCAAATAGGAAATTTAATATTCTTCATCTCTGCGTAATTTTATAGCCAGAGGTAGATCCAGTGCCGCGTGAGCGCAATTCTCGCACAACCTTCACTTTTCCGATCTTAGGAAAATGTACGTCAGAAAAAAAACTCGGCATCCAGAGGGTTAATGCCCCTTGAAGAACCGGTTAGACTTGGTCTTCGTAAGCCCATGGTTGTAAATGGCGACTAACGGGATCGGGTAGTCAGATTTGCTGACGTGGTTGATGCATGTCATCGTATCCCAATTGCATTGATCGATGCTCGTGATGTCAGTCAATTGATTGTCTGGTCCAGACTCGATTATTTACAGATCGCCGTCATAGCTTCCAGGGAGTAAGTTACACTTTCATGCACTTACCATTTTTATTTTATTAATCTAATTCTGTAATAATCATGTGCTGGAGATACAAATGCGGAGACCACGAACATCTTCACGTTATCTTAAACACAATAGTTGAATCACAGGAAAACCTGAAGGCTAGAATCTAATGCATCAGACATGTATGTCGATGGGGCTCGTTACAGAGAACACGGTTATAATCTTCATGCATAATGACATGATACAAGCCTATGCAATACTTAACGTTACCGGGGCTCTGTCACCGGGTATCTGTTCCCGTGACACTGTTACCAGGTCTCTGTTACCAGGGCTATGTTACCCGGACTCAGTTACCGGGGATCTGTTACAAGGGGTCTATTCCCGTGACACTGTTACCAGGTCTCTGTTACCCGGACTCAGGTACTGGGGATCTGTTACAAGGGGTCTGTTCCCGTGACACTGTTACCAGGTCTCTGTTACCAGGGCTATGTTACCCGGACTCAGGTACTGGGGATCTGTTACAAAAGGGTCTTTTCCCGTGACACTGTTACCAGGTCTCTGTTACCTAGGCTGTGTTACCCGGACTCAGTTACTGGGGATCTGTTACAAGCGGTCTGTTCCCGTGACACTGTTACCAGGGCTATGTTACCCGGATTCAGTTACTGGGGATCTGTTACAAGGGGTCTGTACCCGTGACACTGTTACCAGGGCTCTGTTACCCGGACTCAGTTACAGGGGATCTGTTACAAAGGGTCTTTTCCCGTGACACTGTT